TTTTTTTTTTTTTTTTTGGTACTGGGATTGAACTCAGGACCTTCCACTTGCCAGGCAGGCACTGTGCCACTGAGCTAAATCCCGGGCCCTCTTCTTTGTATTTGAGGTGTAGTCTCTCTATGTTGCTGTCCCTACTTTCTGTTACCTATCTTTGGGCTCATGTGATCCTCCTGCCTCAGCCTCCCCAGTAACTTGGACTATAGGCATGCGCCACTGCACCCAGCAGGAGCAGTATGTGCTTCCCTTTGCTCTGCTTTCTGCCAGAGCACATGATGATCTTTAAGTAGCACAAGGAACACGGGGCTGGAAGGCCAGGAGCCCAAGCTCCAGACCTGACTACCTCTGCACCTGTCCTGGGCTGGGCCCAGCACCTGAGCTACCTGGCTACTGTGACCCGCTCCCACTCTGGGGTTCTGAGAACTCTGCTGCCTTCTCTCCTGACCCAGGCTGGCCTGCGGGCACTGCCCATGAACACGGCCACCCCACAGCTGCTCCTGGAAGGGGGAGCCCCAGAGCCCCAGGGCCGCACTCGCCGCTGCCTGTCAGCCCTCGAGTCCACAAGACAGCTGGAGGAGGAGGAAGAGGAAGAGGAGGAGGAAGAGGAGAGGGAGGAGCACCAGAAAGACAGGAATGGCTTCCATGCTGTACCCCTCCGAAGGGCAGGGGCTTTCCGGGCCCACAGCCACACCCACACCCACGACCCCTTCAAGAGACATAGCTGGGGGCCTGACAGGGAGTTCCAGGACCCACTGAGCAGGTAAGCCTGGGTGTCTCCTGTCCTCTCCTTCCATCCCTGGGCCCTAGAACAAGCTGTTGAGAAGAAACATTCCAGGGTCCTTGCCCCTTCTCCAAAGCAGTCTCCAGACAGATTTCTCTCTACTCCCAGCACTCAGGAGGCTCAGGCAGGAAGAACTTAATTTCCAGGCCATATTGAGTTCAAGGCTGTCTGGACTACACAGTGAGACCCTGTCACAAACAAATACTGACAGGGGTTGAGGAGACCTGGACTTCTAGTCCTTCCCCTGGAAAATTGTTTTTGCTTGTTTTAGTCTTGGGTTTTTTTGAGACAGGGTCTTACTATGTAAGGCTGACCCTCAAACTCATAGTAATCCTCCTGCCTGAGTCTCCTGAGTGCTGGGATCACAGGTCTGCATCACCATACCCTGCTCTTCCCCTGGAGAATTAGAACCCAGCCTATTATAAGCCTTGGAAAGGGTGGGCCCTGCCTTCCAAAATGGGGCTGTCTCCGGTGGCTTCAGCTCTTCTTTTTACGTGATTTGAGAGCGGGTTGTAGGAGTAGGAACTGAAAGCTGGGAAAAGTACCGGACATGTGGATTTTTTT